CTGTGCCTTTTCTATAAATACTTTCATGCTAATTGTTCTGATGAAGTTTCACCTATTGTACCTAGACTTTATAAATTTAAGTGCAGTACTAGATTGACAGTAAGAATTTATTTTATAATTGAAATGGTTCAATGTAACTAAGTTCTAACAGTTTGTTCTATCACAATTCTCGCTTGTGGAAATCTCTTTCAGCCTCTTGCTTCCCATTTAAATGAAATGTCAATCATTATCTTCTGAATTTTTGTTCTTTTATTGTTTTCTCCCCTAATAGTAGTTTTTCTCATATTCTCTAACACTCAGTAACCCCTCTGCATCTTTGCTTGGGAGGGGGATTTAAATGCAATGTCAATTGTTATCTTCTGTCATTTTAATTCTTCTTTTATTGTTCTCTCTCCTTTATAGTGTTTTTCTCTTGATTGAGGAGAAGGAGAAGAAGAAGAAGAAGGAGAAGAAGAAGAAGAAAACAAACAGAAAATTGCTGGCCTACTGAAAATCCTCAAATGAAGTTTCATTATTCATATTAATTCTTAAATTATTAATCAATTTAAGCACAAAGATTGAAATAGTCACTTAGTATACTTGAGTACAAACACCAAATCCCACAAATATGGAAAACTTAGAAACTATCAAAAAGTAGACTGACCAAAAGTATTTTGGCTTCAGTTTCAGATAAAATCAAAATTTTAAAAGGAAAAAATTTTCTTTTAGTCCTTTGAAAGATGCTCCATTGCAAAAAGAAAATGGATAGAATTTTTTAAAAATTGTTTTTTATTTACTGATAGTTCACACAATACAAAGGCCCAAGAGCTACTCAAGTTAGAAGGTTATTGAGTGATATTGTAAAGGAGAGGGAAAGGGAAAGTAGGAATATTATGAGGATGAGTAGGATAGATATTGGTTGACCCTGGCTCAAAGTGACTAACACTCTAGTTGTCAGGGAAGCAATCTCTCAGGAGTTTGTTCCACAAAGTAACAGTTCTTGAAAAGAAGCTTTCTGAAACTTGCTTTTTATCAAGAAGAATATGGCATGGCAGCTCCTAACTAAACATCTGAGATTTATGTTCGCTTTGTTTATATATATATATATATATATATATATATATAACAAGACTCGTTTGAAAAACCTCGAATTTTGATTTGCTAATCAAATCAATCTCGAGGGAAAAAAAAGGTTTTAAAAAAGAAAGAGCTATAAACATGAACTTCTGTCAACAAAAAATCGCACAGATGCAGGTCTGAAGCCCAAAGAAAAAACATGATACGACTAAACAACTAACTAACAAAAAGAGCTCAATACAACTATAGAGCAGACCTAGATACACCTAGTGAGCCAACAAACCTACCTAGGTTTCACCTAAATGGATCGTCAGGAAAGTTTGGCTAACACCTAAGTAGGCAAAAAAATGTGGCTTTTTTTTATAGGTGATAGCTAAAATCATACCACATGACAAAAAAAACAAAAAAACAAAAACAAACACCTAAGTAGGGGTGGGGGTAAATGTGGGTTTTTTGTCACGTGGTATGATTTTCTGCTTTCACTAAATTTATCTATATATATATATATATATATATATATATATATATATTACAATGAAAACAGAATAAATTAGTAAGGTTAATGTAATAAAGGGCGAATTCACTTCGCTAACAAATTTAAAACGTATTAACCCACTAACCACTCATTAAATGATGTGATCCTTGTTTTTAGATGTTCTGTATGCTAGTACTTTCAATAGGCCATCTTATCATTGTCAGGCATGGATATTATTTTTCTTTTTAGGTAAAATTCAGGTAACATTTGAGATGAAAATAAATGTAATACAACTTGAAATATGTCTTTTTTTGAAGTGTGTTATTGTTAACAGTTACAAAATTGTGGAGCATGCAGTCATAATGCTAAGGTTGAATTTTAAAAATTTAAGTGGGAGCGTTTCTAAATTTACTAATATGGCAATTCCAAGAATTTTATTGTTGTAAGTATTTTATCAGTCAAAGTGGCATGGACTTGTATGACTGCTTCATTGTAATATTAATTATACTGCACCAATCATAAATTTAAAAGGACTGATCCATGGTGCAAAATTTGAGGAAAACAACTGGGTCATTGCTCTTGTTATTGGATCCTTAAGTCTGGTAAATTGAAAAAAAAAAAGGATTTAAAAATAAACTGGAAAAGAAATACTGTTTTTCAATAGACTGAAAGTATACTGATAACAAAACAGTAAAAATGAAAGGAAAGGATAATTATTTTCTTTTTTCTCCTTCCCCTAGGCTTGAGATGCCAATGATGGCTAGTGCAGAAGGCATCTGTTTTTGGTCAAATTAATATTAAGTAATGGTATTTTTTTAAGTGTCCAATCAACCCCGCATGGAAGAATAGATATTTTAATGATTGCAAATGCCAATGAGGAAACAAAATAAAGCATCAGTGGGCCACTCGTTGAACGAAGTAGCTAATGGGAAAGCCACCCATAAAGGCTAACAGCAAGTCTCAAGCCAAAATTCAGTCAGTTGATAAAAATTGGATTTTGACACCAACAAGTTTCCAAAGGAAAAAAAAAGGAATGGAATTGTAGTTATATTTCTTTTTCATCTGCCTAAAACACGATAAAATTTATTAGAACAAAGGAATTGTCTCTTTTTCTCACTTGTTGACCAAAGAGCTGGTGAAGGGAAGCAACAGGTGACAAATCCCAGATGCAACTATCCCCACAAGGATGCAATAAGAATTCCCCGCTGATGAAAATTATGAAAGATAATTGAATTCAGCAATTTGGGCTAGACCACACCTAGCCTCTGGGAACAGGTTTGATCAAGAGACAAAGTGAGAGGTAAAGGCCCAGGTAGAATTTCAAGGAAGGTGGAGGAATTGCCTGCACCTTTCGGGCAGTGATGGTGAGAGGTGCCCACACGAAATAGCAGATCAATATTCTGCCACCACCACTTTTTGGGAGAGGGATCTCCCCAAATTTGGTCAGGCAATCAATTTCTCAACCACCTCATGCCCTTCACTGGGATTGCACATGGGTCCATAAATATAGATGAGTGAGGTGAGAGATGAGAAGAAGGAACCAGACAGCTCAAAGTGCAGTTTGCGAGAGGGATGTATTGCCAGTTTGTTCAAGACTTGCTTTGCCAAACCCCGCACAGCTTCTGCAGAAAAGAGTTCAACTCCAGCCTTATTCCAAACTACCAAATACAACTGAAAGGTTGGCCCGGATAAATCACAGAGTGAAAGAAATTTGATTCCAGCCTTATCCCAGACTACCAAATACAACTTAATGTTTGGCCTGAAAAAAATCAGACTTCAGCCTTGTACCAGTTTACTGAGCGTGTCTAAACATTGTCACAGAGTATTAAAGTGGAAAATGCAGAAAATCTGCATGTCGTTAATTTAGCAAGTAGAACTTTCATTGTATGAACTTTTGATATAAAATTGTTGCCTTACTTTGTTCCTTGTGATGTCTTTTCGCCAAAGGTACCAGATCAGCAATGTTGAGTATACAACTCAGCCTTCACTTGCCCTGTGATCTAAAGTAAACCCAACATTGACAGGGTGGGATTGAGGATCGGAGCAACCATCTCCAAGGCTGGCCATAAGGATCGACTACAAATTTGCTCAGTGACTGAGGGTGGGATTGTGAGGTCATATTAAGAGGTGGTTCCATGCTCCACAAAACCTCCTGATCAGAGGCCTTGTCTAGTGTGACACTGTGTGCAAATTTTCTTATCAGTGTACCTAACAACTGATTCAATATAATCATTCCATTTCATGTCAGTGGAAAACAGACCAACCAGCAATGAGTTGCCCTCCTGAAGGTTAGCAACAGCCATTCTGATCGAAGGCAAAAAAAAAAAAAAAAAAAAAAAATCTTTGATGATTAAAAAGGTAGCTGTTTTGTTTTGGAAGTGTTAAAATTTATAAGCCATTCCTTACCCCAGTTAACTGCTGATTGGAGATACTTTTTCGAACATGTCGGACTAGCTACTAAGATGGGCGTAAATAGTTGTCATCATAAATGCCTAGTTGGGAACTGATAACATCGACAAGGTTGCTGAAGATAAGAAACAACTTACATCCAAGGTGGACCTCCACATTAATGTGAAATTATCTCAAAACATTAGGTTCAATATGTCCTTCATTGCATGATCTAATGTGAAATTATCTCAAAACATTAGGTTCAATATGTCCTTCATTGCATGAATTAAATTGTTAAAAACTAAGCAAACTATTCATCCAAAGACACCATAGCTGTTGAGTTTGTAGAGATGACTAGCATACTAAACCTTTTCAAACACCTTAAATATATCTAAACCCACAGATTGAGCCTCACTGTTCCTACCTATAACTCGAGGTATAAATGTTAGCATATCGGTGGTAGACCAAGTAAAACAAAAGTCATTGTTTATCTGAAAAAAGGCCAGGTGAAGGGAGTTACTTAACCAATTTGAAATCAAGTAGAGCCTCTAGTACTTTGCCAAAAAATATTCATCTTCAACCATGAGAGCCACAATAATTTACACTTTTGCTAGCTCATTTCTGAAGCATAGAAATCAAGCCCAGTTTGTTAAGAACAAGTCCTTTATAGCATGGTCTTTCCAAAGTCAAATCACCTACATTTCCCCATATTCCAATTGTAAGGAGGAAGTTCTACTCAAGCAGTTTTTTTTCTTTAGAACTGCTACTTGATTCTTCTTAACCTCTTCAAGTTACAGGTCAGTTGCCTAATATCCTCCTTATCCTCATAATCCTCACTTCCTTCTACATTCTCCTACATTCAGATGATACACCACATTCAGTAGCCCTCTACCTCAAGTGGTTCTTGAACTTTGCATTGGTTTATCTTTACTTAGAAAAAAAAAAAAATCAAGGTGTTTAATAATTACAAATTCTATATTTTCTGACAAGATTGTAATTGAGAAAATATGGTTGATTAGAATGTTAATTATTAATTAATCAACTACCAGTTTAAATCTTGGAATACATTCATGAAACTTACCTTGCTTCCACTCTGTAACAGTAATTCCATTAAATCAGCCCGGCCACAAAAAACGGCCATATGCAATGCTGTGTTTCTGGAAAAGATAAAATAATAAAATGATTATAATTATTAGTGATTCCTATCAGCTATTCTTTAAAAGGAAATTGACTCTGTATACTCAAAGAGTATACAAGTTAAATTCATAATGACTAGTTGAGTTACTTGTGTATAGAAAGAGATCAAAAGTTGAATTGAAGTTGGTTATAATGTCAAGAAAAGGATTGGTCTTGAAAAGTAGTCATGCATAACTTTCGATACCAAAGTGTAACATTGAAATGTCAAAGAAACATCTTTCACAATTTTATTAAAGAGCAAAGAGAAGTCTTCCCTATGATTCAAACTATGTTTTTTTGTTTCTGAGAGAGAATTTGAATATAATCCAAATATTATCCAAACACAAAATTCTTTGATCATGACTTATAAAATCTGAAAATGCTCAAAAGACATGGGACAATTTATGCACAAATTCTCTCCAGAAACCAGAAAAATAATTCAAACTGAAGTAAAATAATGATTGCATCTTTCTTACTTTTTGTAACAGCAGTAAGAAATTGATCCATGAATTTGAGAGGATTAAAATAAAAATAGACATAATATAGCTAGATTATTCAACCAAACATGCTTGAATGAAGATATGCTTCCTATATATATATATATATATATAATTACTGATATCTGCTGGTGAGTGGACAGAGTGATTGCTAGAGGGCCACTCTACAAAACTCTCGAGATGGGATGCTGAAATTAACTCCAATCAGTTAATTTTATATATATATATATATATATATATATTTTATTTAAAAAAATAATTTTTGAGCTGCATTTGTTTTATAATCACATGCCAGGTCCTAACCTTTGAGGGCAAATGAAAAATGTGATTTTTGATGTTTATACTTAATTAAAACAAAAGACAGCAATTAACAAAAAAAAAAAACTCTTTGCAGTAGATTGGCTATGCTTGTTAAAGCTAGTTTTGGGAGTTGAGTACACACCCCATTTTTATTTTTATTAAATCAGTGTAAACTATGTTCATTGGCCTGTACATCTGAGAGAGAATAAAGAATGTACAGGCTCATACACGTAATTCACATTATTCATGGAGTATCTACTCAAACAGGAGTATCCAATAAAATAATATATGAAAATACTGCTGGATTGAAAATAAAATCCATTAATTCCTATCTTTCTCTCTCTTTTGAGATATATATATATATATTTTCAATAAATCAAGAATATTTCAAGTTACTTATCTGGCTAGCCCTCATTTAAATTAATTTTTCTTGATTTATTGAAGATTATCACTATTTATATCTATTGAGTGACTTTTGACAGAAATCCTGCTAGCCTCAAAAAACATTAAAATTCTCATTATTTTCACATATTTTTCAGTTGTGTGTATATATATATATATATATAAAATGGGTATAAATATAGAAAAATTAACAAGAAAATTGTGAACTGTAGCTATATTCATATTTCAAAGATAGCTACATTACAATTTCCAAACATTGCTGCAAAAATATTGTAGAGAGAATGGGAGGGGGAGACAAGCAAATAGAGAAGAACAGAGGCATGAGATAATCGAGCAGGAATGGCGTCAGCTCTAGGAAAAAACAAACAAGTTGCTATGAATGAAAAATAACAGACAATGTACAAGCAAGAGAGAAAATGAGAGCAAATATGAATAAAGACCAATGACAAAGATCTTTTTTAAATTCTTTTTACAAAGGCTTCAGCGAATAAATCAAAAGGGGAATTAAAAACTTGATACAAGAGCAATAAAAAAAACAAGAGGAATGAAAAAACAAGAGGAATGAAAAAACGAGGAATGAAAAAACAAAATAAAATACAGATTAACAGGCAAAAAAAAAAAAAAAAAAAAAAACGACAGTCAATCCTTACAATATTGGTGCCATGAATATTCCATGTAATTTTTATGAAGCTCTTGCAAGTGTATCTCTATATTGGTGTCAAAATGGGAAAATTAACTTCCCTCATTTGCAGACTTAGCCAGAATAATTGTGAACTCTTTTTTGATGGAAAGTAACCCCCTTGTAAAACATTTAGGAAATTATAACAATGCTTTTTAATAACTGCATCTCAAGGACATTATTATTATTTTCACAGTCGAGGGAAAAAAAACTTACCACACAATTTCCCTTCTTTAACCTGAAAATAAATGCCTCCAGTTTTTTTCTGTTTTTTGATTGATTTGTTTTTTTTACAGCTTATCAACCTTTTGCAGGTTATTTAAAGCTAGAAAATATTTTTAGATTGTAAGAAATCTTTGGAGATAATGATCTGCTGATACAAGTCTTAGGGTAGGGAGAAGAGTTGAATTCATACCCCTTTCCAAAGGGCATTTGCACGTAAGTGAATATAATAAACCCAACAGGAATTGGAACTCTGCTCTCTGAATTCCAATTCCAAGATGTCATCTGTTACACTGCCAGCACGTCCAAGCTTACACCCTCTGGTATTCCAAACTGGTCACCCATCTTGGTACCGATTTGGCTTGACATTTTTAATTTCAGCGATTCTTACAATCTAAAAATATTTTCTGGTTTTAAAAAAAGCTGAAAAAAGGCTGATAAGCCATAGAAAAAAACAAAAAAAAAACAAAAAACAAATCAATCTATCAGTCTTTGGTGAAAATGATAGCACTACCCCACCCCGCTCACTGATAGGAACCAGAGATAATGTAATTTGCCCCCAGAAAAGTCCTTACTAAAAGAATCTTCAACAGCAAGAAGTAATGAGAGAGAGAGCTAAGCTTAACAGCAGAAACAGCAGAGGAGCCAATAAAAACATTATGTTCACTAAAGATCCTGGAAAAAATGGTCAGTTCCTTGTACTCTTACAGTAAGTACCTAATTCCTTCTGCTATGTTTTACCTTTACAAGTGCCAGACCAGACCAGAAATAGATTACTGCCACCATATGTGGACTGGAGCTGCCCAATCTTCACTTTCCAATTTTGATAGAGTTTGATAGTATCTACACTGCCTTGTGGGTGATGAATTATTTACCACTCTACAACCCCTTTTACCCCAGACGAAACTCTGAAAGTCTGTCATTGCTTTATTTTTTTGGCAAATATTCTGATGAGCTACATTCCAACAATGCTAACATTTACTGCATTTCAGCTGTACATAGTGGATGCCAGTTACAGTTTCTAAGGAATCATCTCAGTTAAGCAGTTTTTTTTTTTTTACTTGCGTGCCATGTGCCTTCAGGACGTGGGCGATCTTAGCTCTCCACAACTTCCTATTCATTGTAGCTCTTAGCACCGTTTACCTTTTTACTATATCTCCCAGTTCCTGTTCTGCCATCCATTTATACAAGCTTGTTAAGTAGGTTGCTCTATGTTTCCTTCTGTTGCCCTTCTCTTCAATGTCTTATGAGTGTCAAATTCTCCAAGCACTATTTCCTCATTATGTGTTTCATAAATTTCACCTATCTGATTCTAAGTATAAGTGTCCATTTTCCTGAAAGCTTCTTCATTGCTTACATTATTCATCTATGGTATTCTCAGCATCCTTCTGTAGAACCACATCTTTGTTGCTTCAAGTCTTCTCTTCATCTGTGAGGAGAGTGTCCAGCATTCACTGCCATAGAGGACTGATATTATATAGCAGTTCAGCACATTTTGTTTCTAATGAAATTTTACTATTTCATAATACTTTATTTAGCTTTAAGAAGGCATCTTTTGTTATCCCAGTGCATGTTTGGAATTTGGTGTCCATTTTCTGTCATTCCAGATATTTAAATTGTTGAACTAACTTTATTTTGATATCTCTAATTCATGGCTTGTATCTTGGGCAGTTCCCTTTTGCTAACAACAATACATTCTGTCTTCTTACAATTGATGGTTAGTCCTTTCTTCTTGCTTTCCTTTACTTGGTCTATTCTTCTTGCTGACAACCATACATTCTGTCTTCTTACAATTGATGGTTAGTTCTTTTTTCCCCATATATCTTTATTACCTTGTCTAGAAATTTCAGTAGTTTTCTTTCTGTGTTTGCCATCAACACAGTATCATCTGCATATCCTGTTAAAATTGTGCTCACTAATAATAAATCCTGGTAGGACTTGTAGTTCATTTAGGATTGCCTTTCTGCAAAGGTCAAATAAATCTTTGTATTATGACTTTCTATTTTGTATACATCATTCATTTTTCTCTTCACACATGGTTCCATCTCGATGAAGAGGTAGACAGAAATTTAGAAATATCTAGTTAGATTGCCTTCTTCATATTGATGAAGTCAGCAAACCATGCATTAATATTTTCCAGATGCTATGGCAATCCTGGCAAAATATGATAAAACAGGCAATTTTTAAACCTATACATGGAACATAAGATGGCCAAAAATCAATAACTTGCAGTAAAATGGAACCATAAGAAACAGAAAGGAAAATATCAGCCAGGCTTAATTGAAAGAGTCTTTGAATTTTCATCTTACTGAATTCCAAAAGGAGAGCAAGGACTAGCATGTACTTTGTATAACAGATGGTCACACTATTTACTTTGAGAAATTAGTATGTCCTGTTAATTATATGAGATCTGATCGAAAAGTATTAGTACTGGTGCTATAAACAGAAAATTACAACATACATCAATTTGCTATTTAATCTCCTTCAAAGTAGTCTCCTTCTGAATCCACATACTTTATTCCATGTCATTTCCATTGATGGAAGCATTCTTGGAACTCCTTTTCTGAGATAGTGAGCAGCTGCCTAGTTGTATTCTCTTGGATTTCCTTGACGTCCTGAAATCTTGTTCCTTTCAAATGGGATTTGACCTTTGGAAAGAGGTAAAAGTTGGAGGGGAATATAGTGGTTGCTGAATCTTGAAAAAATGTGCTTGGCCAAAATCTGCTGCACAAGCCATGGTCACTGATGGAATTTCTGTGGCATGGTGAGACATCCACACTCTACACACTTTCCTTTACAAGCACTGCTATAAACAATGAAAGTGAGCAAGAACATTATAACAGTGTGCATGAGCAACAGAGTTCA